GTTCACAGCTATAAATTAATACCCAAAATAATAATAATAATAGCCAAAATAATTAAATAACATCGCTGATGATGAGATACGGTTATCGTTCTAAATCAAAACATACAACTTGTATGTATTTTCCTTTCTCAAGTGTTCTTACAGGCGCTAAAGCCGATAAGAAGCCTTCATCTAAATAGAATGGATCTTTTCAAAACCATTCGGTAAAGTCATTAAATGTTGAAAGCGTACATGTTGCCGACGACATAAAACGTAAAGAACATTTAACAGAGATGCGGACGTCTGCTTTATTATATTTTCTCCTTTAACAGAGATGCGCACGGCTGCTTTCTTACTTATTCTCATATAACAGAGATGCGCACGGCTGCTCTGTTACTTTTTCTCATTTAACAGATGAGAGAGATTTTTTATTCATCATTTTTTTTATGTATTAAAAGCAACTCTTTTCTCTTTCTATTCACCGCACATAATAACTTTTTTATAAAAGGTGTGAAGGGAATAACCAGCTAACGGCTTTTAGCGAGAAATCAAAACCATTGCCAGTTGATCTTTACATTTTACGAGTACTTTCCTTTCGAATTCCCCTGGCACGCTTTCTCTCTTTACATTTTATTAGTGTTTTCTTTTCTTGCGTTTCACAAGATATGAGTATACAGGTACATTCCCCCCGGGAGTTTCACTTAATTGGCTTATATTCTAATAAGATATGAAAGGTGAAATTGGGATGTAGATGTGAGATTATTTGAATTCGACATCTGCTGTAAAATTGTAGATCATTAAAACTTGAAAACTTTCCCTTAATAACTCCTTTCTTGCATCGTTTGCTAGAGGTATATATACACACAAAGCACTGTCTTATTAATTCTTCCGATAACTTTAAAAAATAGCCTACTTTCATTGGTGTGGCCTGGTCTCAAAACGGAAAACGGTATCACGCATGCCTGACTTTTGAAATCCTAAGACTATCATAAATCACCTGAAGTTACTTACTCATTTGACTAATTTGTTTCGTTTCTTTCTAAAGAATTTGAATCATCAGGAAATTGGTCTTACTACTTATTTGGCAACTAATTCAACAATTTTCCATTTCAGGACACGAATTCATAATACTAATATGCTTTAGAAACAAAAATTGGTAAAAGTCTTAAGCGGCAAAATTAATTAACACAAAAGAAGGAAAACTGTGAAAAGAGAATCAATCTCAATTTATAGAAATTCTCAACAGTATGTGGGTTTTAATAAAAGCAAATGGATATAAATACTAAAGACTAAACGTTGCAATAACAATCATTAAAACATGATAACATATTCATGAAATTGTATTAAGAAGCCTTTATAGAGAATATAAATTTGTATATATATAAATAAAATAATTAGATATATATCGATGATCTCTCAAAACCTTTGAAAAAACGGCCACGAAGTAGAAAATCACTGCAACAACCCTCTTTCCGCGGCCTTCTGCTAAAGGTCTTGGACCTTGAAAGAAAGTGTTTTGCTTTCTTACTGACAACAAGTTCGTCCGCATAATTGTCCGTCCCTTGGCAAAAGTGTCGCTCACCTGTAACCATATAAATTCTAAAGATAGTTGGTTTCTCTGTCCGATTCGTCTTTTAAGCACCTTACAATATGTAAACCTACTTATAAAAAGAGAGTCTTTCCATGTACAGGTCTTCCTCGTTTAACATGATTAATTCGTACCGTGCTCTACCGAATCGGTCTTATGCGTACCTTTTCTGTGTTTTTATTTAACGTAAAACGTCGCATAGAAGGACAAAATTTAAACTTAGGCACATACATCAAAATAGTGTACACCGTGCGGTGTTGTAACCTTATTCAACTTGTATTGAATTTTTATAAGATATTCTGAAATACTGTAAATCAATGCAATGTGTGCTATGCTGTATCGAAACTAGCTGTAAAGGTGCACAATTTATGATCAAAATTTTATTGTATATTCTTGTAATTCTCTATTCGAAATAAGCATTCCTTTCCGAATCAATCCACATTTGAACTGAATGAATTTGGTTTTCAGACAGATTTAAATTACTCTCATATGACTACGAATCGAGGTGGTTTCAGGTTCGCTCATTTAAATTACTCTCATATGACTATGAATCGAGGCGGTTTCAGACTCACTCATTTAAATTACTCTCATACGACTATGAATCGAGGTGGTTTCAGACTCGCTCATTTAAATTACTCTCATATGACTATGAATCGACGTGGTATTCAGGCCCGCTCATTTAAGTTACTCTCAGATGCTTGCGAATTGAGGTGGATAAAAATCACAATTAATCAAACAGTTTTTGAAAATCTTCGCGAATTGGCAGTTGATAAAGGACACCACAATCGCAAAATAAAACAAAGTGATGTTTCCTTACCATACGTTTCAAATTATAAAATAAATGAAAGATATAAATATATGAACACAGCAAAATGAAATGTCCATATGTTCATAAGAGCGAAGTTGAGGCGGAACACAATCCACCAATTGTTTCAGAAAAAGCTTCATCTTTTCCAAATAATCGAACTTGGTGATGGTTATAGGATGTGCGAAAATGCGAAGCCCATTCAATCTGTTGTTGCAATTAGTCACTTCGAAATCTAATTTCAGAAGTTTTCATATGTACATCATTTTCTTCGCTAAGACAAAAAGCATAAATGTTAGTTGCTTCCATATTTTGGCCATTTTTTCACTTGAAAATGGCATTTATTAAGAATATGAATAGAATATATGTTGATCAAAATATTTTCTACAACTTTCCCTCTTCTTTCTGGCAACAATATTGGTTTGGCAGCGATTCAACGGTTGAACAACTTTCATACTTCTTCAGAATGTTGAAACAGCATGCCTGAATCGATCTGAACGCACTACTGTCACTAGACCTTCGTGATCCATATTCGGTAAGGCTAATGTCTATGTCAATTTACTATTATGAGGTGATTTTCACCACGACACATTAAAAATTATAACTATCTGCTATATAAAGATTCAGTTGTCGTAGGAACGGTTATATGGGGGAGGGTGTAAACAAATGCCTCAGCTGAAGCAAATTTTTCATACCAATTTGGAATGTCCGGATACTATCACAGAGCAAGTTTTATCGATAAACTTTAATAATTGAATTCTTTTCCATATGACGACTTTTGAAAACAGAGCGTCGTATGAGGAATAATCGGACAAAGCAATCCAAACTTTTTTTTGAATAGGGTTCATCCTTGAGTCAAAACACGTCAGTGTACCGGCCAGGGAAATATAAATAAAAATATTTTGTTGAAAAGATAACAATAATTACACTCTTTTTTTAACATTTTTTAACTCGTGTTATGTCAAGAGATTTGGTTTCCGATTGGTTAAAAACTAAAAAAACTTGGAATAGTTTTAATACTAGACTCTTTGTACTCTATGAAGGTAGATAAATTTGATTATTAATATAATGGGATGCCGTCGTCGTGCTCATTTCTTTTTTCAGAAGTATATCAGCAACTGAAGATTTATTAATTAAAGTTAAACCTTTAAGCAAAGCTGAGCTACAAGAATTAACTAAAGAAGACTTACAATACAACCAGTGTTCTTTTAAATCTAAGAACATGCCATTATTGAAAAAACATCTGAGAAGTAACTTGAAATAAAAGATATAAGAGAAAGAATGAAGCTAAGGGTTGTTTTTTTTTAATGTATAGATCTTTACTAACATATTGCACAAGTTGTGAATTTTTTTTTTTCTAGCTTTTATTTCTTAACATACTAATAAGCAAGGACAGTTTGAACAACGCAGGAAGACGTGCGCCTAATGAAGGATTTGGAAAAAGACATCATATATTACATATTTTGAAGAAGAACACAAAAGTAAATATTAAAAAAAAACGGATTTAAACGTTCGTTTCGTTTATTTCAATTTTTTTTTTCAATTTCTTCGGTAGCCTCTTCTTTAGCTTGCTTTAAACGTCTGGCCTTGCCTGCAACAGTTTAAAATACAATTTTTTTCCTAAAACTTTTAACAAATTTGCACAATATAATCTTATCATTTGACTCTCGTGGACTTTTTTAAAATGTCTTTTTAACTTACGTTTTCTATCTTCAGCAACCTTCTCAGATCACAGACATATTTCAAAGAAAAGTGTTGAAAATATCGAACGGATTGCAACTAACGATGGAAATCTGACATAACATTCATTTTGTCCATCCCTTTGCTTTGAAATATTTGGGCGAATTATAAGTAATCATTGCCTGCTAACGGCTGGAAAATGTAAGAAATATGTTACATATGGTCATCAATTCCTTTATGTACCAAGTATTTTTTTAAATATAAAAGGTATAAAAAATAAAAGTTTAAGTTTACTGTGTTTTCTTAATAAATAATTGGGGTAGGTGTGGTCAAATCAAGGATCGCCTCTTAAAGCTTATTTTTGATGAATGTTTAATGGATTCTGTACCCGCGGCTATGGATGAATATCATAAATCGACACTAGTGCAGGATGTTTTTATGATTTGAGCAAACATTGCTCGATAATTTCTTTATTCATACCGAAATACATTGTACATTAACTAATTTTACAAAGCTAAATTAAAATCATTGGAATTTATTTTCGGAGTGGAAATTCCGAGGTATGATTTCTTAATTATTGAAATGAAAAGCTAATGAAATCGTCGTTTTTTCAAGGTTTTTCTTGGTTAGTTCAAGGGCTTGATCTACAAATCTAATACAAAAGCTGAAGCTTTCGTTGCTGAAGGTAACCTTTAAGAATTTCAATGACCGATAATGAGTATAGGCATATCTCTGCAGTCATAATAAGCTGTATGCGATTTCTCACTCACACGAACGCAAGAGCAAAAGCTTTTTTCGATATAAACATGTATGTACAAAGAGTTTGCCTAAGAGAGAGAAAATGACCTCGAAAACTGTCTCATTAAATTACTCTCAGATGATACCAAATTCGAACTCGTTTTTTCAATTATTCTCAATTGTAAACGAATACGGACTAACTATTTACAGAATATATTTTGATCAGAACTCCTGCAACAAATGTGCGCCATACTTCGAAAAACCGCTTGTAGAATGCGTTGAGAGGCAGTGTTCCGCGCAGTCTGTTTGCGTACAAGAATTATCAGAAAGTAGAAAGAAATACCTACGTAGCCGAAAATCTGCATTACAATTGGAAGCTGTCGTTTAATGATACCATTGTAAGTATTCCTAAACTTGCATTCGGCTGAAAACATCGAGCAAGGGCAGTGGTAGCAGTACTAGTGTTGTTGCTATTAAGTGTGATCTCTGTGAAGATGAACCCCTTAGAGAGTAAGTATATTTCGCTGAATTTTTTATTTGTCTGTAACTAAAAATATTTATCGAATGTTTTTTTCCCTTAAGAGATATTATTTTGAACCATGATAAAGCATTGAAAGTTTTTCCGCTATTTCCTGTAATATTGCTATAACAGAAAATTTTTACACAAATTCTTCACATATCAATCATACATTTGCTGACTCTGTGACAAGCCGATCACCAAATAATAATTTTGGGTAAGTTTATATGGTTTTATATGGTTTGCTGTTTGCTCTTATTTGGCGATGCAACAAAAACTATTCCACACCCTCGCGTAATATAGCCAGCAGAACCACATTCCAAGAAATGCAATTGATGAATAAACCAATATATATACTAGGCACTGATAATGTTGCCATTAATGTTGTACAGACGATGGCCGGATATTTCTTGGAGATCGCGATGGTAATCTTTACGAATTTGCCTATCAGGCAGAATCAACGTGGTTTGGAAAAGATGCAAAAAAGTGAATCGTTCACAAAGCATTATCTCCCTAGCGTTTTAAAAGTAAGTATTCTTCGTTCAACTACCGTTCCTGTCAAACTGGTTTGACTTTTTTTTGGCTATCGATAATAGTCGCCAATTGTTATGTGGGCTGTTCAAGCATTTATGCTGTGAGTGGTGAGCCATCACTTTCTAATCAAATACTTGGCAATATACCTGGCGGGTTCAATAAATTTCCATATTAAAATATTTCGATGACTATGGGACGTAAGGGAAGGTGTGGAACATAGACAATCGCATCATCCTTTAAGTCCAGGTACGTACGTAAGCTATGATCTTTTCATTCAAATATCCCAAAAAAAAAAAAATTTTTTCCCAAACTTACATAATGGTTTATATTTATGCGTGACGCATTTAGGGCGCCCTATGTAAAATATTCCGTTGCGAATGATTGAAATGTATAGAGAGAATACGTTGCAATTCGAAAGGAAAACACTCGTAAATTGTATAGAGACAATACGTTCCATTGAAATTCGAAAAGAGAAATAGCTGTATAATGTATAGAGAGAATGCGTGGTAATTCAGTTCGCAAGGAGAAACTCAAATGAAAGGGAGAAGCATAACGAATTATAAAAGCAACTTAACCTGGGAATTATGTGAATGTTTATAAAAAGTCGCAAATAATTTTTAAGTTTAAATTTATATACAGGAATGTTTAATTTTCCCTTCTTTTACTTCCCGTTGAATAATGCATTCAACTACAAAAACACAAGAACGAAAAGTATTTTATTTAAAAAAAGTTTATTAGGATATATATTATATCATTTAATAATAAATGTAAGGAATTTGATAATAAAATTTGAAGTATAATCAGGATCTTTGTTAGCCTTGGAGCTGTACGTGCTTTTCACCGCCGCAATATTATTATTGAAAAAACTAATTGTAATACATTGTTTTTTATATTTTGATATTATTTGATATTTATAATAAATATAATGTGGTAGACAAAAACAGACAATGCAATCTTAAATATTCGAAATTGTTCGATTTCTCTTTGATACACGCAACAAAGGCCGCTTACTTAGATATTATTGATTTATTGATTAGATCTAGAAATAAGGGATAATTTTTTAGATAATTGTTGGTCGACTTTGTTTACATTATAAATCATACGCATTGAAATCTATATATGAAAAGTCAGGCTAGATTTCCTGAGATCAAATAAGCGCTGTCGTCTTAGTTTATAAATCGATTTTTTCACATTTCATTCTTTAAATTTTCGGATTTGATTTTGTGTGGAGGGTGTGGTTTTGATAATGATGAATTCCGCTATTTTTTCCAAGTGTTTAGAAGCGTTTGCGACTGTTTAAGACTTAAGACGTTCTAGTGCCCTGTAAGCTAAAATCCAAAGAAAATCAAAAGAATACAGATACTTTCTTACGTTTCTGTCATGTTTTCGAAAAAGAGGAGCTGGAAAATTTAGTCAAACAAATCGAGGGAGTGACTATATTTTGATAGTTATTGTGATCAGGGGAATCATTGGGTTATAGTTGAAAAAATTGAAAATCAAGAAATCACTAGGAAGACAATAAAAACAGTCCTTTAATCTTCCAATAAATTTTAGAAAACTGTTTTATAAGCCCTATTAATTTTCCCATTTTGATCGTAGCTCTCACATATAAATAAGCGAAGTCGTTGGGAGAGAAGAATTTAAATTTGCATGCAAGTGTTCATGTTAAGGCCTACTCCTAGTTCTTTACGTCCTGACTGCAAATCTTTCAAAGGAAACTGACATACTTCTGGTGAATTATTCATATTTTATTATTATTGTTAACTTTAACAACTTAGTTATTAGCTAAACCTGCTGCATTATAACTGTTTGGGCTCGCTGTTACCTTATAAATGTTTGGACACATTTTTTAATTTTAATTTTTTTAACATATAAAAATAAAAAAAAAAGTTAATTTGGCAATTCCCAAATCAATCACGACGTCTTCGGTAAGTAATAAGTGGCTTAAAAAATTGAAAAGGTTCCTAAAATATAAATTACCGTGCAAAAAAAGCCCAAAGCAAATATTTTTGGGCATTTTAGGCATTTAGAGACAAAATTGTCTTTAAATGAGGATTTACAAGGCCGCTCGGAGATTTATTTAATGAGTAGTTACAGACATCGTCAACAAAGTCGGGATATTTTTCGTTTAATATAATAAGTCTAAAACAGTTGACTCAAGTAGTAAACATATAACAAATTTCTAGCTTGCTAGCGACTGCGCCCCGCAGGCACGCTTGAAATTAGGAAATTAAGAATTGAATGATGCGTTTGTTTAGCTATATTGCAAATGAAAGATTCTGCCTTGAAAGTGACAAAATCAATTTTGGTCAATAACATTACATTATCTTTAACAATTCCGTGTTTTTCTTGCACAGGACGTGGTTTGTGATACATGTGCTATACACTTAATCCAAGTGCTGTTCTTCAATAAACTGATATCGGTTTCCTAGGAGCGACAATAGCCAGAAGAAGAAGATAGACACAGTTAAATCATGCGAATAGGGAGGTTGTCGAACGTCACGAATCAGTTTTTCTGTGAAAAACATCGCAGAACGAATGCATTGTAAGAAAGGTTTAGCATAGCACATAAAAAATTTGTCAATGTTATATTGCTTACAAACAATTTGACCCGTTAGAGAGAACTCCAAACTTTGCTTGAGAACGAAATTGATCTCTTCACTTGTGCTGAGCCAATAAAAATGCGTCGACATCTTAAAATATCAAATAACTTTTGCAACGTGTAGCTGAATTTGAAATGAAAGGCAATTTTCTTTAACCATAAGCTCCGCAGTAAGCCCGTCTTGGCTAATGCTTGGTAAGAGGCTCTCTATAGTTCTATTTGTTTGTAGTATGGTGGTGACACATTCCTCTGGTATTGTTTCGTCTTTCTCTTACGTTTTGTTAAAACTCATTATGAAAGATAAAATAAATAGTCATTAAAAATGATAATAAAATTTAAGCGACATCTTATCTCTACTGGAACGTCCAAGAGATAATACACTTGGCAATCTATCGATCGCAATTATTCCAAACGTCGCTAGAACCCTTTCTGCAAATCTAGTTATTTTATTCACTTTATTCTTGCGACCCGGTCGCACTGTTGTTTTTTCCAATGGTTTAACGATTGAAAATAAAATTAACATTGTTTTAGACAAAAAATATTTTTCTTGTATTCACTTATATATTTCTTCCCATTTCTGTTCTTCCGTTCTATTACGGAAGTTTTTCATTTGCAGTGGATTTGTCGGACTTATTTCATTTTTTTATTTGTGAGTGTTTTTCGACAAATGCTAAATAATAATTCAATTTCGACTTCGCTAACCTCAATTACGAAATAATAAAATTTACCTTGAATGTTTTTTATTTTGAAAACAAAATATTTTTTGCTCGTACACCCAAGCATAAATCTTTTACGTTTTAATTAGTACATTGAGTTCTCTCTGAGTAGAACTAAATCGGCGCAAGGTTTCATTAAACGATGGTCCAAAGAGCCTCCTAATGCTGATATTACAAAAAAGCCATACATATGCTTAGTTAGAGCAATACTTGAGTAGGCTGTTGTGTGATCTCCTTCCTATAGGTGTTACGTAGATTTAATTGAATCCGTTCAAGCGTAATTCTTGCTGTTTTCCCTTAAGGATTTGGGCTGGACCCGTTTATCTCTCTAACTCCTTATCTTGATTCTTTCTTAAGTCGTCCACAAGGTACATACTTCATATCAGCGATAAATTTAAAGGACGCCTCTATCTCCCTCGGAGAAACTTCCGAGAAAAAACAGCTTTCACGGCCGTTATACTGAAACACAATTATGACTTTTGCAATGCTGCGCAACGTATGTGTCGATTGACTGGGCAGAGCAATTCCAAGTTAGCCTTGAAGAATGTCTTTGCCTACCTAGATGATTCACCAAATTTCGAAAGTCGTATACAACACCTAATTAATGCGGCGAGATATCTACGGGACGCCGATCTGACAATTAACAATTCTGGTAGGTAAAGGTCATTTAAAGTCTTATGTATTTAGATTTTCGTTCTAATTTGCGTTTTGATGTTGGAAGCATTAAATTGCTGAAGCCTGTTCTCAACGATCTTCCAAAAAATACTTTAGATGAAGATTCCCTTCTTGCATATTACGCAGCGTTTCGTTAGTCAACCAAGGAGAATAGTTCTCCTCTGTAGAGAATTTATATATAACAGTCCTCTATATATATATAGATATATACTATTCTCTATATAAACTCGTACCAAAGGTGTACGCCAACCTGAGTTCTTTACTCGCTCTAGAACACCTAATTCGATTAAGACATTTAGCCTAAGTTCTCTTTGGTTTTCCAAGCAATTGGCAAAGGTCTAAGTTTGACATGGTTTGAATTGGTTGGACATTTTGTTAAACGTTTAAGATGATCTTGGTATTATAAGTGCCCAATTGATCAATGAATACATCATCCAGTTTCAATTTGGGCAAAAATGTACGTATAGTCTTTATAATCTTCATTTCATTTACTTGACGTAATTCAAAATAAAATGCTCGGAGATATGATGATACAACAGCAAACTCTTTCGTGATACCTTTGTAAGCCAACTTTGCTTCGCATTCCCCAACAATTGATATGTGAACACCTATACCTTTGATTTAAGAATTTCTTGCATTTTCTAAGCTTCAGGTACAGGCCTTTTTAAAATGATGTCGAGAGCGATGTAACCAACACTGGTAAGTTTTGTTACCGACGTGTACAAACCTTGAGACTTACTTCCAATACTGAAAAAACAGTTATCAAAATATGACTTGCTTTTGCTAAAATTTAATGCTGACTTAGCTTTTGAATTTGAGATATTTTAACTTAAAGATGAACAGATTATGAACCACTATGTCAAATGGTTTTTTTATTTTATTTTACTCATTTATACATGAAATTCAACTAAAAAAATTACGAATCGAGTTCAGTGCATCTTAATAGAAAATCTTAAACTAATTGTTTTAAAACCAGTATGAAATAAAAAAGAAGAATAATAACAACAAAGCAGGTTTAAGAATAAATTAAAAAGTTAAAAATAACAATTCGTGTATAAAAAAAAAGAGAGAAAAAAAAAAGAAAACAGAAAAAAAAGCATGTACACAGCTTGCATAGAAGCACACCCGCAACAAGACCACATCTAGGTTGCAGGTGGACTCCTAAACCATTGCAAACATGCATAAGCTTGGCAACCGACACGTTAACAACATAATATTATTTTAGATAAAAAATGAGATA